GTATAGCAGTCAATTCTTAAATAGCCTGCAAAAATACATGTCAGTTAATACTAGTTGTTGAAGTAGTCTGTGTTTCAGTATATTCGTTGCAAAGTGCTGCTTTGGTGCTGACAGTTAAAAGGGGTGACACTCAAGCAATACGTTGCATCCTAGTATAAGCTTTCAACTTGTAATAACAGCATACCATAATCATAGCAAAGGTAGTTTAAAAAAAAACCAACAGCGATATACAGTTGACTTTAAACATTATAAAAACTAATTGTTAGAAGGCTGACAATGACATACTATGAATAAAGGAAAAAAATACCATTGCAAGCATTTTTCCTGAATTTTACTTTGACTGTTGTCAGAACCCTTTCAACTTCAACTAACTGGAGGGGAAAAAAACCCTTAAAATTCCAAGGGAGCTAGCCTCCAACTTGTGATTATTTTAATACTTTTCCCACTTCAGGATGGCATGATGTTAACTGCCTTGGAAAAGTGATTATTCCCTCTTGTGGTACTGTACAGGGGTCTGAACCATGATAAATATAGGTGGTTTTCCTTTAGATGTGTAACATCAGAAACAGGCAATTTGTTTTATTTTAGAGAAATACGATTTTCAAAGCCTTCTCATAGTGTTAAATACTTGGAACACAACTGATTGCATGTGATGGGTGGGTACTTGTTTTATGTTTTACTTAAAGACTTTCTCTTTTTCTTTTTTTTTTTTTTTAAACCTCCATAAATTCTTTGTCTTTCCAAACCTTTTACTTGCAGCTTTTAGACAAATGGCAGAACAGAAGCCAGGGTTGTTTGGAACCTGTAGTATCCCCATTTATCTCAGAAATCTGGGGTTGGGATTTTTTTTTTAAATATTTTTTCTTGCTTTCAAAAAAATCTTAGTAATGCAGTAGTAATTCAGATGGTAATTTCTCTTTGAATGGTAATTCAAAGAGAAACTATGTTTTTAATAAATCTGATTTTTACAGAGTTGTTTAGATGTAACATTACAATCAAAACGTTCTACAAATATCTTCCAATATTTTATTCAGTTCAACACTACATATATGTGTGTGTGTATTTTTAACATACAGTCTGGCGGTGAGCAAAAGGGTTTTTTTTGATACTTGCTCCTTCTTTTTGGTCATTTATGTAGATGCTTCTCAGATATACTCAGAGTCCTCAGGAATTTCAAGCTGGATAAACTTTGAGCTCAAATTGCTTTTCTCAGTTTACTTGATACACGCAATTACTTTGCATCCTCAAATGATGGGATCTTGTGACCCATGCACTGGCATTCCCTTGGGTTCCAGCAGGGAGGAAAGCAACTTGTCTGATATTTAAACACAGTGAAGTGAGGTCTCTTAGAAGCTTATTCTCTCACTACTGTGAGACTCGACAATTACTTTGTTGAGTCAGTCTAATGCAGTGATTCCAAGTGTCATTTAATAATGATCAGGCTCTTTAGATGGAAGTAAGCTTCATACAACATGAATGTCAAATATTTATACAGTTTAGCCACCGCTCTTTCAGTAAAAACAAACTTCATTTGTTACAGAGTAATGCTTCCCCATGTCTAGGCACATTCTCCTATGGTTAACACTGGCTTGGAGATTTGCCAGTTGTCTCAGATCTTCCCAACAGGCCATTTTTATGTGGTGCTTTCTCTCTTCTATGAAGGGAAAGACCATGAGGAAAGAAGGGAGAAAGCATATAATTTAGCTCTTATTCTTACGTATTTTGGAAAAGATCATTACAGATGATTTTTTCAGGCAAACCTCAGTAACTGACTTAAGAGTTTATTTCTTTCAGTATTATTCAAATGCAAACAGTTTCTGTAACAGCTTTTTTCCTATTAATGCATTTTATGTGGAAGTGTGTACCAGAACAACTCTTAAGTGTGATGTTGGGTTCACCTTCTTTATGGGGAATATATATTTCCCAGGAGATCAGAATAATAGCTTGTGCAGAGCTTGCATGTTCTGGTTAGAGTGTATACAGACAAAGAGATCTGCAACCACTCCATGGCTAGGATCTGCAGGAAACGGGTAAAATAATTTACTTCCTTTCCCTGCTTACCACTGTCTCCTCTAAATTGGCATCTTTTAAGATCCATTTAGCTTTAGACAGTGAAAGGAATTTAGGACTGAAAATAGTCTTCCCTCCTGTTCTCCGTGGTTTTTGAAGAGACACGGTGCACCCTATCTGGTGATTTCCCATTTTTCCCATTACGTTGTTCTCCTTGTCCCCTGCAGATTACCTCTGTGTGCACTCTCTTCCTATGGGAGAGCCCGCTTCCTTACACCTGGTCGAGGTCTCTGACAGTTACTTGACAAAAGCCAGTTCTGTGTTGCCGGGCCCGTTTCCTTCCCTTCCTGCCCAAAACCCCTCTGGCTTTCCACAGATGCCAGCCAAGATGAGATTATCTGTGTTTGGATGTCAGGGAGGCAGCATGTATATTCATGTGAGTCCTTAGCTTCTGACTCTGTATGGCAGTTTAGCAAATTTACCTTTCAGGGGAGTGAGGTGTTGCACAAATGTTTAACATTTACTTTTATATGGTGTGATATTTTTTTCCTGTGAGGTGAAGGGCAGGCTTGCATGATGGATGTGGTATAAGCCGATCCAAATGCACTCTGCTCATGTTGCTAGCTCTTAGCCTGGCTTTAAACTTGGGTCTAAAGCGTTCACGGTGTGCTTGGAGATGGAGTTCAGGGGTTTTGCTGATGTACTGGGCTTCCTAGTCTGTCAGCAGGAGCTTGGACCTGTGCTTACATGCTGTGTGGGTGCTCGAACACCTTCCCATCCCCTGGTAAATGCTCTGATCGTGGCCTAGTCTGTGACTGGGCACGTTCTTGTGTATGAATGCGGTGGGCAGGTGGAGAGGGCAGTGAGGTGAACTGAGAAGAAGCTTATCCTCATGCTTAACTGGCAATGTAGATGTTACTGAACTGACTGATTTGACTCTAGAGAAGAGCTTTCAGCTTTGTTCCCCACTGAGCAATAAGATTTCTCCTCCGTCTCTGAATCGGCCAAACTGGCTTTAAAATGCATGGTCCTTTATGCTCTTTTCTTTCTGCATGAATCCAGCAAAATGCAGCTGCTCTGGTTTCAGTGCTTGTCAGCCACAGAAAAATGTCAAAACTTCTGACAAGTTCTTAGCAATGCTGATGTGGATTTAAATGCTATCAAACAGTAAGAACAAATATATTTTTAGATACTTCTGTCAAGTCTGACGTTGATGTGTCCTATCAGCTCATTGTCAGATTAGCACTTTGATTTATGCGGAATAATTTCTACATAACTTGCTTGGGGACCTTTTAGAGGAAAAGTAAAACAGGAAATAACCTGAAGAAATGCCCGGTCAGCTTTTTGGAGACTTGCTTTTGGTGCTGCATCATGATCACAACCTGTGCTGGTTAGAGCAAAATAACAGTGACTTATCACACACCAGATCGGGGGTGTAAATCAGGAGCTTGCCTGAAAACACTGCAGAAGGTGCATAGTCCAGGTACAACACACTGTTTTGTCCTGAGGCTGGTGAAAGGGTTGGGACCTGCTGTTGCAGCTCAGGAGCTGAGAGAGCAGTGCACTGCTCTGGGATTATCAACTGCCGTGGGCTGCCTTATCTCCTCCTGTTTCTGAAAGGCAAAAAATGACACACGGACAACCTTGGAACAGAGCTGCACTGGTGTGGTTCTGCAAGGTGGCTAGCTTTAAGGAAGCAAGTCACCTGAAGCACCTGCTGTGCTGCTCTTACTGTCTCTTGTTGCTTTTAAAATCTTGGTGACCTTTAGCTGTGTGGTAGGAGTGAATACACAGTGTTCAGGAAGGCTTAGAAGTTTGAATCCGAGTCTCTGGCACACAATCTACTTTTGAGGCAGAAAATGCAGGAACCTCTGCTTAAAAATCGGATTGGACACAAAACCCCACAAGAGCATGGTTAGGATTATATATTGAGAGATGAATTTATTTAACCTGAGGGCAGCAAGAGAGGATTAGATATTTTAATTCCCTCCCCTTCCCTAATGACTGTACAGAGTGCTGACAGTTCCTTGGCTTGGGGAAGATGACCTGTACGCTGAAGTGATTAGGGTGTGCAGTGAATTTTTTTAATACTTCCTACTAAAAACAAAGTGCTGTCTCACAAAAAAAGCGCACGTTTTTCATAGGGCATAATAGCACTCTTTTGAAATCAGGAGCATTAACACTCAAGTGGGGACATGCAGCTTAGGAATTGGTCTCGCAGATCATGAAATTTGGGGCCTATCTTGTCAAGGCAGCTGGGTGATGATTTTCAATGCCCTCGCAAGTGAGATGACTTAATGTGGAAAATGTATGTCAGTAGGAATTGCTGCGGTTTAGCATTTCAGAATAACTAGATACTTTGCTGCTGAACTTGAGATGATAACTTTAGCTACCTAATTTTTAAAACATAGTCGTCAGTTCAGTTTCTCCTGGGAATTCTTACATGACAGATAAATGAATGTACAGATGAGGGAAAAAATTGCTGTAAATTAACAGGTGTTTATTTCTTAGAGGCCAATGTGTTTTGGTATGTTTCCAAATTAAACGTGCAGTTGTGTTTTTAAATACAGGACAGGTTTTTTCATTAAAAAGATAAGGCCTGAATGGAGATCCCCTCTTGGGTTCAGTCTTATTGCCTTAACGAGCATATTATCCGTACAAACAGCTGCAATTAAAGTTTGCTTTCTTATCATTCATAATTTCCTTGAATATCAGTAAGGAAAAATTTTGTTTCATTTATTTGGGTATTTGATCCAGAATTATGCACTTGAGGGATAGATTATAGAGGTGACCCATAGGTGGAATATGTTTGGAGCAGTTTTAATTTTTTTTTTTTTTAAATTAGAGGCTTATTAAATTTCTGCAGGTAAGAAAAAAGTTTGAATAAAAAGCATCAATCATGGCCCTTTCAGTTATTCCAGTGTAATTTGACCTATATCTCTGTATGACTGTAGTCACATGAATGTGAAAACTATCAGCTGTTTTAAAGCTAACTGTACTTTGATTTTGGTATTAAAGCATGCCATGTACTTTGTTGTTTTCTTCATCACACCAACAGAACGGGAATGTGCCACAGCATGGCTGCAGCCACGGCTTCCATATATTATTGTAAGGAGACAGCTGTTGTGGGACTGGAGTCAGCGTCTTGCGATGCTCTTCCACAGCTTTTCCTATTCTCCTTGTTACAGTGTCAAACAAGGGTTCAGTGTCGGCTGATAGAGGATTTGCCTCAGAAGGATCTTGTGAGAGATCAAACAGCAGCGGAGGGTCATGATGGGTTACACCATCCCCAGAACATGGGCAAATTCCTCTTCCAAAACAGGCCCCAGAGGCTTCTGGTTGGAATACTGGAGTAGCATAATGAGCTTTCCATACGGTGCCACCTGTCACAGAAGAAGCACATTGGAACAGCTTAATGGCATTCGGAGTCAGGGGAGGTCCCTGAAAGGTTGGTTCATGTTTTAAGTGATCTGCTTTGCCATTTGTAGGGCAAGCTTATGTCATGGTTGTCACATATGGGGGAAAGGCTCTTTTGGGAGCTGGCAGGGATTCACAGTGGTTTTCGTGGCTCACGGACACACCTGGGCTCTGGGTACATGCAGGGCCATATACACTATGTGGGTGATTAGGTCTAATATTTTGAGCGCAGAGGGAGTCTGCCACTTTCTTGTGTCCCTGTAAAACTCTATGTGCCACTTGGAGGGTGTGAGAGACTGAAGGAGTTAACGTCTCAAACATTGTGGTGGGGCAAGTTCTGCTTAACCACTGACTCTCCATAACAAGGAACTCTGCCCAGCAAGGAACCCGCGGTGAAAAGGAGCTGATCAGCACCCATTGGCAACAGGAGGGGGAGGGCAGGCCGGAGGGTGCACAGCTCCCCGGTTTGAGGTGCTGAGCAGGGCAGCTCACCATGTATGGTGAAAGATCACCATGCAGGGAAGGGGAAGCTACTTCCCAAAAGACCCCCAAGCCCATGGCCCAAAGGCTACCTAATTAGCCTAATGAGTTTGAGTGCCCGCCCAAAGGAGGGGCAAGGATGATAAAAGGACACAAACTGAAGCCCCGGGTGCACAAGTCCACCAGAACCGGACCCCTCAGCTGACTGAACCAACGCTGGAGCCAGGACCAGTGAAATCTTACTCTTCTCTCTCTTTTTCCCTTTTCCATAATCCCTACACCTCATCCCTTTAGACATAAACTGCTGACCAAGTCTGGGACTAAGAGCAGATCCAGCTGCCCCTGGGCTCCTCTCTGAGAAGGAGTCTAGAAAGCAAGGGGGTCCGCTCTGAACCTCGGGACTCAATGGGAGGGCTCTCCTTATTGTCTTCCCTGAACTGATCCCCAGATAAGCAAGGCCCGTACTATATGTTTGGTGATGCATGGTTAGCACATGTTACGCAGTTTACTGACATGGTTTCATGCCAATTTTTGTTGTGAGCATACCAGTTTTTGTGGTAGGCATGCCAATTCTTGTTCTGAGTGAATAAAAGGTGAGTTTTGTGAGTTAAAGGATCCCTGGTGTCATTTCATCTTAATCCTGACCTGGGAATCAGCAAACCTGAGTCATTGTCCTGAGATATTGGGATGTGACAGAGTGGTATTGTGATACTGCTAAAATGACCATTTAATAGAAAAATAAGAGATGGACAGGTAGACTTACCTAGCTATACGTAGGAATTTGTGATCCGTGTTCAGAAAAACCAAACTAACTAGTCATTCTTTTCCATTAATAGTTGAGCTGAATCCCTCATAACTTACTTACTTACACACTGCAAGGCAGTTCAGAGAAGTGAGTGTAGAGTGTCTGAGGAGAATTCTGATTCTGCAAAATTTTCACACTCACTTTTCACAGCTGCAACTAATTACTAGAGTTGCAGAGTGGGAGGGAGCCAGCTCCTTGTTAGTTCATTTGGAAGGATACAGTGAGTCTGATGATTGTAATTAACCTGTGTTGGTGAGCTGAGTAGACAGCTGGGTTACAGAGGGATCAAAAAAAAAAAAAAGGTGGTAGAAATCAGTGGTGATGGAAGCAGCAGGGGTTTCAGTCATCGCCAAGAGGCAAAGAGGGATATGCAATTTGCTACTGAAGTAGCTCTGACAGAATTTGAAGGATCTGTGTGAATTTTAGGGCAACATGTTAATGTAATATGTCCAAGGGAAAGGAAACCTGCTTCTTCAATCCAAACATCTCTCAAACCCATCTGGTAACAATCAATCAGTTTAACGAGCAGAAAGAAATGGACTGTCACTAATAAGCCTTATTGTGCTGTGGTAGAGGAAAGGACTCTTTAACATATAGACAAAGGATTCTTCTGGCTGCTGTGAAGGGCTTAATTGATGGATCCTGCCTGGGTGACATCAAGACACAATGGCTTCATATCTAGCCTGTCCCATAGACAGAAGTAAACAGACAATAAATATGTAATATGAACGTGATATACTTGTAAATGAGCTAAAACAGACTCTAAAAAGTCTGTCAGCCCAGTCAGAAGTAATGGCAGTTGGAGCAAAGAATCAGAATTTCTGGCTTGGCTGAAAACTGAACCATATGGTAATACTTGATTAGCCAGTCTTTTATATGCAGAACATCCCATTGTTTTCAACTCCCTTGCCATGAGCAGTTGTGTTTCGATGGGAAAATTGTAGAAAGCCATGCATAGGAGATCTAGCTGTTCCTGGGGCTTCACAGGAACACAAAATGCACCTTGCATCTGCATATTGTACCTGTGTCTATGTTACAGGTAGTGTGGCCTATTAGAAACTGATCTGTAGAGCAGAACAGCTATTGATGGCTTATACACCATGCTGTGTTTGTCTGGGGCTGTTTTACTGGGGGCTAACTAACTCCTGTCTGGTCCTATCTATCTACCACAACATCTTTTAGTAATTAGAATGTATTAATTAGGTATGATCCTGGAGCCTATTTTACAGTTTAGTTTCATTCACACTGAAGTCAAGATCTCCAAGTCCATTCTGCAATGCAACCCAAAGCACAATGAGTGGGTATGCTCAAGAGGGGTTTGCTTCAAAAGCACGCTGCTGATCTGAACTAAAATTGTAACCTAGGAGAACAAGAACTGAGAGGGAGGTAAGGAGAGCAGCAGTCCTTTAACCCAAAAAGTGGTTCTTCAACCTCATCCCTTGATGGAGTATGCATTTAGCCTTTCACTAGGGACATGCAGCATAATTCCTCTAGTAGGAATTTTTTCCAGGAGTCTCTGCAGTCAGACAGGGCTTTCTTTGTACAGAAAATATACATATTAAAAAGAAATTAAGATAGATCTCCAAGAATAGTGGTGGATTTAGAGGCATAAGAGGTTTAAGTTTCTGACAGCTGTTCCACTTTAGGTAATGCGGAGATGTGAATGGGCTCAGGGTTAGATGTGATCAAGCACCTGGAGCTACTGGTGGTTCTGGGGTGGGACCAGCTTAGCACTGGTCTGTGTCCAGTGAACTGTGGTCTCACATCTTTAGTGGCAGCTCATGGCCAGTCTCTTAACTCCCTGGTCTGCTGAGTATTGGGTACAGGGGGAGAGATGTTCAAAGCAGTGACTCTCACCGTTCTGCCAAGTGGGGGCTATTGCGGGCGCCATGTGCCGCACTCCCTGGGGTTAGGGCCCTGTCCGTCTCTGATGGTGCTTTTAGCTCCAGCCTCTGGCCGGGAGCTCAGGATGTGGTTCAGGTGGGCACCCATGGTGACACCGCTTTGGAAATGAAGCCACTACACCTGGCCGGGCCTGGCGAGGGCTCCTGGTGCTGAGGGGCCTGGCCATGCTCCTTCTGTGTCCCCAAACCTGTGGGTGGGCTTTTCATACAGGGCCCCTCGAGACGTGAAAATGAAAAGCGGAGCAGCTACCTGCGCCGAAAAGCCAGGGAGACTTTATTTTACTTCACTTTTTTTGAGAGCGTAACCTCCGCCTCCTCTGAGGCGTTCGTTTCCCGCCTGCAGCCCCGCGGCGGTTGTGGCGGTTGGCGGTGCCGCGCTGCCCCCTGGCGGCGGCTTCTCCGGCTGCTGAGGGGAGGCGGCCCCGCCCGGTGCCGGGGGACGGCTGGGGCGGGAGCG